CTGCGCTATGCTATGCTATGCTATGATATGCAATGCTTTCCTATGCTGCGCTATGCTGCCTGATGCTGCGGTATGCTATGCTATGTTATGCTAGGGTACGCTCGGCTGCGCTGTGTTATGCTAAGTTATGCTACGCTATGACATGTTGCGCTATACTATGCTATGCGATGCGATGATGCGCTATGCTATGCTATGCTATGATGTGCTCGGCCAGGCTATGTTATGATATGCGATACTGCGCTATGCTATGATATGCTGTACTATGCTATGATATGCTGCGCTATGCTATGATATCATATGATATGATGTGATATGATATGCGATGCTGCGCTGTGCTGTGCTAAGCAATGCTATGCTATGATGTGATGTACCATGCTGCGCTATGCTATGATATGATATGATGGGCTAGGCTATGTTATGATATGCTATGTTATGTTTGTCTGTGCTATGCTACGCTATGCTATGCTATGCTCTGCTCTGCTATGCTGCGCTAATGCTGCGTTGCGCTATGCTGCGCTGCGCTAAGCTAAGCTAAGGTACGCTAACCTGTGCTAAGCGAAGCTAAGCTAAGCTAGGCTAAGCTAAGCTGAGCTAAGCTAAGCCAAGCCAAGCTAAGCTAAGCTAAGCTAGGCCTAGCTCAGCTGAGCTAAGCTAAGTTAAGGTAAGCTCAGCTAAACTAAGCTAAGCCAAGCTAAGCCAAGCTAAGCTAAGCTAAGCTAAGCTAAGCTAAGATGAGATAAGCTAAGCTAAGCTAAGCTGAGCTAAGCTAAGCTAAGCTAAGCTAAGCTAAGCTAAGCTAAGCTAAGCTGGGTGAACCCAGGGGGCGCAACAGGGGGAACCGCGGGGCGGGGACTGGGGGGGCCGCCCGGGGCGAGTTCCAGTGCCCGGCCCCTTTAAGAAAGAGGGTAAGAACCCTCTAGGCAGAGCCTAAGTGGGGAATAACAATACTAATAATAATGATAAAATAATATTACGAATACGACTATTACTACTATCATTATTACTACTACTACTACTTCTACTACTACTACTACTACTACTACTACTACTACTACTACTACTACTACTACTACTACTACTACTACTACTACTACTACTACTACTACTACTACTACTACTACTACTACTACTACTACTACTACTACTACTACTACTACTACTACTACTACTACTACTACTACTACTACTACTACTACTACTACTACTACTACTACTACTACTACTACTACTACTACTACTACTACTACTACTACTACTACTACTACTACTACTACTACTACTACTACTACTACTACTACTACTACTACTACTACTACTACTACTACTACTACTACTACTACTACTACTACTACTACTACTACTACTACTACTACTACTACTACTACTACTACTACTACTACTACTACTACTACTACTACTACTACTACTACTACTACTACTACTACTACTACTACTACTACTACTACTACTACTACTACTACTACTACTACTACTACTACTACTACTACTACTACTACTACTACTACGACTACGACTACGACTACGACTACGACTACGACTACTACTACTACTACTACTACTACTACTACTACTACTACTACTACTACTACTACTACTACTTTACTGCTACTGCTACTGCTACTGCTGCGACGACACTACTAGTTTAGGGTCGCAGAGTACGAGACAACGGACTCTTTCCTCCACACATTCGAATTCTCGAGCACTCCTCCTCCCGAAGCAGACTCTACGCAGGCCTGGGCGGTCTGGGCGTTTTTAACATGCACGCAAAGCGACGCCGAACTGTACACGGACGGCCTCAGCCCGCGCTCTCTGCGCGTAGGCGGGCTGCATGTCTGAATAAATAAACAGCTCACTACACGCGATTTCTCTATGCTCGAACGGGCGAGCCAAATTCTTGGAGCAGGTCGCTGCCTGACCTCCGCATGCGCCAAACCCAGGCCCATAAGTACGTGCGACGCCACCACCAATCGGAAGCGCGCACGCCATCTGGGATTCCGCCGCGCATCTCAGGCCACAGGCCGTCGCAGCACTGCGCGCCCTTTTTGAGAAAGACAGCGTCGGCGCGCCCGCTCGGGCGCGCGACGCGCACGCGGTCGACGACGGCCCGCTGCTCCGCACCGAGGGAGACTATGCCGCGCGAATGCTTCACATGTTTATAGTGAGCAGTGAAGCGCTCTGCACTGAAGCGAGGAGGGCCCTTGCCCTTGTCGCTTTGCGCGGCACGGCTCTCCGGAGCAACAGACTGGCACGCGCCAGCACCGCCGGTTAAAAAAGTGAAATTACCAGGGGCGGGAACCCAAGACAGGACCTCGCCACTCCCCTCCCCGCCGAGCGATACGCCGCCCCCCCCCCCCCCCAGCAGCACAGGCGCGCCGCGGTAGCTCGGAAAAAAAACATCGCCAAGTGCCGCTGTCCCCGAGGCAGGACGCACATACATCGGCGATGCAATATGCGATACCGCCCACGAGGGCGCTCGCCGCGCGACTTGTCTGAAGAGCCCGACGGGCAAGGCACGCGGCAGGCGCGCATTGACGCCTCGTCGGCCTCGACGAGACATCCGCGGGGCCACTTGAACTCATCCTGCTCGGCCTAGGCAACGAAGGCGCACATGGCCCGCACTACTCTGGCGATGCGCTCAGCCGCCTTCCTACAGATCCCCACCTGGACCGCCAACTCGCCCGATGACTCGTGGCCCGAAGCACGTTGGGTTGCCACGTGGGCGACAGCAAACAGCGTGCGAGTGGCATTCACGGATCCCGAGTTGAACAGCTCCTTCAGCGGGCCATTGGGATCCAGGTTCGACTCGCGCTACTGGCACTCCTCATTGGAACAAGCCCAAAAAGGGTAGTCCATCTGAGGGGTGATGAGGCCCGCGATCTCGACCTCCTTGCCAGACTGGCTCTTCCGAAGATGCGGCCCCATGGTGCCGCACTTGCACGCCTTGCACGGGCCCTCCAGACCTGGGAGCACGCCGATTTCAATCATGATGCGCGCGAGGAGCTCTGGGCTGATGCGCGCCACGTCGATCACGGCACCCCGCTGGGAAATGGGGCGCGCGGCGACGCGGGGCCGATGATCCAGCTTCCGCTTCGGGGGCACGCACGATGGGCCAGGGGCCTCTTTCTTAGATTGAACCCTGCCCTTCTTCACCATGGACATATTGCTGAGGCGAGTTCCTGTCGTCAGTGACACCCTGCGCGTGCCAGAAAGCTTCTTCGCATGCAAGGTAACACAAACTGGCTTCCGCTTCAACGCGGCCTGCTGCACGCGGTGCGCACGCTTGCGCTTGGCAGCCTGGGAAGCCTTTCCGCCATGGGGCATGGTTTGCAGCACGCAGGAGGGTGGCAATGGCCAAAAACGCACTGCTCCGCCCGAACTAGGGCCAACGAGCTACGGAATGAACAACACATCATACGCATGAGTGCCCTGCAACGGCGGAACTGCAATCTCGCAAACGTGACGGAGACACGCTGACCCAAACCCTGTCCCTTGGCATGCTTTGCAGATCAAGAAATGTTAGAACACCGCCCAGCCCCGCTCACGGGCGCTGCTCTCCCGCCCCATCATGCGGGAATGAAATATCGCGCGCGTCCTCGCTGGCGCCTGCACGGCTGCGCATCGGAAGGGGCATGCGCGAATGCTCTGCAGGCGCCGCGGCCTCAGGCGCTCAACACCCGCCACCAATCGCACTCCTCTGCTGCCACGCCCTCGAGCATGCGATGCCAGGACACGTGGCCCGCATAGCAAGCGCGGATGCCGCCGTGGAAGACGATGAATCCACCGACGAACGCCAAGACCGCAACAGCGTGTCCCACGACGCCAGGAGACGCGCCGTAAGTGACGATGTAGCGCCCTGGAGGCGCGCCGCGCGCGCCACGAACGAATGCAGGTACAATGCTGCACCCGACGCCTGCGACCATGTCCCTGGCGTCGCCCATGCTACAAGGCCCGCCCCTGGTGTACGGGGCGTCGAAGCCGAGCATCTGCAACGCATCGATGATGCAACAGCCCTGGGACGGGTGAGAAAGAGCAAATGAGATTGCGAGGAGCGGCAAACGGCAAATGAGTTCTGCGAACGACAGACACGCGGCAAGCCGTGCACGCATACATGCCTGCGAGAACACGAGCGCGCGCGAGCGTGCGACTACGGTGCGCCGCCCTCCCTCATAATGCACGATCAGATAGCGTGCACAAGCCCTGCTCGCGCATGTGCATTGTGTTAACCTCCTGGCTGGGTCTTCTCCTGGGTCCCCTGCTGGGTCCCTTTGCTGGGTCCCTTGCTGGGTCCCCTGGCTGGGTCTCCTCCTGGGTCCCCTGCTGGGTCCCTTTGCTGGGTCCCTTGCTGGGTCCCCTCCTGGGTCTGTCTCCTGGGTTCCCTTGCTGGGTCCCCTCCCGCCACTGGCCAGGGAGCCTTTCCAGGTTCACAAACCATTGTAAAAACATGTGTTTCGGGTCAAAGGGCAAGCAGACACTGTAAAAAACATGTTTTTCAGGTTTTTCCGGTTTTGTGAATCAATCCGCTTGAGCGCGAATAGATTCACAAAAACCTGGAAAAAAAAACTGGAAAAACCTGTTTTTTACCGGGGTTGATGGCCCTCTGACCTGAAACATCTGGTTTTTACAATGATTTCTCTGCCTCTGGCTTGACACGAGGCGCCACGAGCAGAGCGGGAGGGAGAGGAGGGTGAGGATGAAGAGGAGGAGCCAACTCGAAAGGAAGAACCGACTTGATCGGGCGCTCCCCGACGCCAAGTTGGAAAAAGCAGAAAAACTCCCAGGCCTGCATAGAGTCTGGCGCCCCTCCTCCTCCTCCTCTTCCTCCTCATCCTCGTCCTCCTCCTCCTCCTCCTCCTCCTCCTCCTCCTCCTGCCCCTCCTCTTTCTCCTCCTCCTCCTCCTCCTCCTCCTCCTCCTCCTCCTCCTCCTCCTCCTCCTCCTCCTCCTCCTCCTCCTCCTCCTCCTCCTCCCCCTCGGGCGGGC